TGGTTATGAGTCCGGAGCCTAGGGCGAGTGTCCCGAAGCCGCAACGCGATACATCGAATGACGGCGCCGGCGGGACACGAGAGTGATTTGCGACCGTTTGAACGCGCGTCAGCGCGTCCGCCGGTCGCGAAAAATCACTCGAAGCCTCTGGATTGGGCCTTTGATCTCCGTATCATTCAGGCTCCTGCCCGCGACCCGCCGAGGCGGGCCGCAGGACAGACGCGGAAAGAGGGCCGGAGGGATCGGAGTCAGGCCTGGGTGTCGACCGTGGAGCCGGGCGGGGTGTCGTCCTCGGGGCCCGAGCCCCCCCCGGCCGAGCCCCCATCCGCGCCGGGCTTCGGGCCGCCCTTGGCCACGGCGACGCGGGCCGGGCGCAGCAGGCGGTCGCCGAGCAGCCAGCCCAGCTCGTAGACCTGCGCGATGGTGCCGGCCGGCTTGCCGGGGTCCTCGATCTCGATCATCGCCTCGTGGCGGTGCGGGTCGAGCTTCTCGCCGAGCGGATCGATCGGCACGATGTTGTGCTTGGCCAGGGCCTCGTTCAGCGCCTTGTCGGTCATCTCGACGCCGGTGAGCAGGGTCTTGAGCGCCGGGTTGGTCTCGGCCTCCTCGGCCGGGACGGCGGCCAGGGCGCGCTTGAGGTTGTCGGCGACGCCCAGCAGGTCCTTGGCCAGCGGCGCGGCGGCGTACTTCAGCGCCTCCTCCTTCTCGCGCCGCGCGCGGTTGCGCAGGTTCTCGGTCTCCGCCAGGGCGCGCACGAGCTGGTCCTTGAGGTCGGCGACCTGCGCGGCGAGCTCGGCCTCGCGCGCGCCGGCCTCCGCCGGCTGCTCGACGCCGCCCTCGGCCTCGTTGAGCTCCAGGTCCTCGAGGGTCTCCGCGTCCGGTCCGGCCTCGGCCTGCGCCGCGCCGGCGCGGCGGCCTTCGGCCTCCATGGCGGCGGTCTCGTCCAGAATCTCGGCCTCCGACGCGCTTTCGTCGGTCTGCTGCGGCTTCTGCTTCGGGTCGGCGGTCATGACGCTCCGTCTCGTTGCTGTCTTCAAGTCGTTGCTGTCTGCGTTGTGCGGGGGCGGTCCGGGCGCCGGCGCGGGCCTCAGCCCAGCAGCCGGCCGATCGCCTGGGCCGTGTAGTCGACCATCGGGATGATGCGCGCATAGTCGATGCGTGTCGGCCCGATCACGCCGACGGCGCCGACGATCTGCTGCTGGCTGTTGGTGTAAGGCGCGACGACCAGCGAGCAGCCGGCGAGGCTGAACAGCTCGCTCTGGGCGCCGATGAAGATCTGCACCCCCTCGGCCAGCTCCGTCATCTCCAGCAGCTTGAGCAGCGCTTCCTTGCGCTCCAGCGCGGTGAAGAGATGGCGGATGCGCTCCAGATCCTCCATCGCCTGCACGTCGTCGAGGAGCTGGTGCTGGCCGCGCACGATCAGCGCGCCGCCGCTGGCGCCCCCGCCAGCCGCGGAATCGCCCGACCAGGTGGCCAACCCCGCCTCGATCACCTTGCGGGTCAGCGCGTCCAGCTCGGCGCGGGCCTGGGTCAGCTCCTGCTTGATGGCGCCGCGCGCCTCGCCCAGGCCGCGGTCGCGCAGGCGGGCGGCCAGGTAGTTGCCGGCCTCGACCAGGGAGGAGGGCGGCAGGCCCATGGGCACGTCGATCACCCGGTTCTCCACCTGGCCGGACTGGGTGACCAGCACCACCAGGGCGCGGCCCGGGCCGAGGGAGACGAATTCGATGTGCTTGAGCGGCTCGTCCGACTTGGGCGCGAAGACCAGCCCGGCGCAGCGCGACAGGCCGGAAAGCATCGTCGAGGTCTCTTCCATGACCTCGTTGAAGCTGCGGCCCTGGGCGGCGCAGCGCGCGTCGATCTCCGAGCGCTCGTGCTTGGTCAGGTTGCCGCGCTCGAGCAGGCCGTGGACGAAGAGGCGCAGGCCCAGCTCGGTCGGCAGGCGGCCGGCGGAGGTGTGCGGCGCCATCAATAGGCCGAGGTCCTCCAGATCCGCCATCACGTTGCGGATGGTGGCCGGCGACAGGCTCATGCCGAGCTGGCGCGACAGGCTGCGCGAGCCGATCGGCGCGCCGGTCTCGACATAGGCCTCGACGATCCGGCGGAAGATGTCCTTGTGGCGGGCGTTGAGGGCGCCCAGCTCGTTGAAGATGTCCTCGGCTTGAGACCTGAGACTGCTCATGGCGCGTGCGCGATGTCCCTGAAAAGGCCGCCCACGGCGGCGGTCAAGGATGTAGGCCAAGCGGGCAGGCAGTTCAACGCCGCCGCCGCCGGGCGCCCTCGCGGCCGGGCCCTGCAGCCAGACCCTGCAGCCAGGCCCTGCAGCCGGGCCCTGCAGCCGGGCCTTGCGGCCGGCGCCGCCGCCGCGCTATGCCGCCGGCGACCGCCCGTTTCGCGACCCCACCCCAGGAGACGCCCCATGCGCCCCAGCGGCCGCGCCCGCGACCAGCTCCGCCCGATCGTGCTGGAAACCGACGTCAACAAGTATGCCGAAGGCTCCTGCCTGGCCAGGTTCGGCGACACCCACGTGCTCTGCACCGCCAGCCTGATCGACGCCGTGCCGCCCTGGCTGCGCAACTCCGGCCGCGGCTGGGTGACGGCCGAGTACGGCATGCTGCCGCGCTCGACCGACAGCCGCGTCGACCGCGAGGCGGCGCGCGGCAAGCAGTCGGGGCGCACCCAGGAGATCCAGCGCCTGATCGGGCGCGCGCTGCGCGCGGTCACCGACCTGACCGGCTTCGGCGAGCGTCAGATCAAGCTGGATTGCGATGTGCTCCAGGCCGACGGCGGCACGCGTACGGCGGCGATCACCGGGGCGTACGTCGCGCTGCACCACTGCTTCCAGCACATGCAGCGCTTCGGCGCCGTCAAGGCGATTCCCCTGCGCGAGCCGGTCGCCGCCGTCTCCTGCGGGCTCTACGAGGGCGAGGCGGTGTTGGACCTGGACTACGCCGAGGATTCCCGCGCCCAGGCCGACGCCAACTTCGTGCTGACCGCCAGCGGCGGCATCGTCGAGGTGCAGGCCACGGCCGAGCAGGACCCCTTCAGCCGGGCGCAGTACGACCTGCTGCTGGAGCTGGCCGAGGCCGGCGTGCGCGACCTGGTGACCCATCAGCGCGCCGCTCTGGGCCTGGACTGACCCGCCGTCGGGACGCCGCCTCCGGCACATCCGCGGCCCGGTACATCCGCGGCCCGGTACATCCGCGGCCCGG